CTGTGCATCAGTGTGAAATACACATGGGCAAAGCTATAAACTGTAGCCCTAAAAATACTAACGCCACTAATTAGCTGTTTAATATCTCTGTGATTTATTTGATATATGTTTATTATCTTTTCTCCAGAGCTCTGAAGAACTGCAACTTTCAGTGGCCCACATCAAGCAGATTATTGGGATTTTAAGGGACTTCATACGCTCTCCAGAGCAGAGAGTGATGGCTTCTACCATATCCAAGTTGAAAATGGATTTGGACTTTGACAGCACTTCCATCAATCAGATTCATCTGGTGCTGTTTGGATTTCAGGATGCAGTGAGTCCCTTGCCTAGCACAGGGGGAGAGGAATTCTTCCTGGACAGATTCTCCACTCTTCCTCACTCCTCTTCCTTCTTACCCTGCTCATGCTTAACAGCCATTTCCTGCCCCAATTCCTCAGAAGCTCCTGTGCTTGCTGGGGAAGGTGGGAGGATATGGGCAGGTTGGAGTAGACAAAGCCCTGGTGACTGATCATATGGAAGACTAAGAAAAGACTAAAGGTGTTTGAAGGTCAGATTTTGCCTGGTGACCTATGGATTACCAGTGCTCACAGTTCCCTTGCTCTAGGGGGAGGCGTGGGCTGTAGCCACAGGCATTAGACAAGCTCTTCAGAGGGGCACATGGGGCTGGACAAGAGCCCTGATGTGTTGGAGCAGTCTTAGGTAGGCCTTGAAGCCAAGGGTGGTGATGCTTGAAGGGCTTCCAATGCACTGACCATAAGCTCTTACGTTTGTTCTGGATTCCACATTCCCTTCTTGTTCTACATCTCCTTGTGTTGCAGAGAGGCTTGAATTTCCCAGTCTGGGTATGGTTTGAAAGCTCTAGCCTAAAACTGTCAAGTCTCTTGTGCAGACTTTCAAAGGTAGGAGTCTTTTAGTGACTCATGCAGCTATTTTATAAAACATCATCTGACTATTGGAAAACAAGATTGTTTCCCAAGGTGTAAGGAAATGTTTACTTACTTGCTTTACTTCCTTATTTACTTGCAGGTGAACAAAGTGTTAAGGAATCATTTAATAAGACCTCACTGGATGTTTGCAATGGATAACATAATTCGCCGTGCAGTCCAAGCTGCGGTCACTATTCTTATTCCAGGTAAATCAAAGCAGCTGAAAAGAACCTTTTTCTTTTTTTTTTTTCAAAAAAAAAAAAAAGGTGCTGTTTGCATCTCAAAGCATTACAGGAGATGTTTAATGTTGAATCTGTCAGCATGCTATTAACTGCATCCCATGTGCCACTACATCAAAGGCATAGGGTCAGAATGCTGTACAGAAAAACACGTTGATCTGGAGGATTAATGCTGTAATTGCAGTACAAAAGCACATAATGAGGAGATAACCAGTCGTTCTGCACCACCAGTGTGGCCCAAACAGGACAAAAAAAAACCCCAAATTTTATTCATTCTAAGCTGGAGCTTTTCTAATAAAAACAACAACAACTCTGTACAACATTGTAATGACATCCAGGGTGGGTAACACTGCACAGGTCTGGTTATGTGTTCTGAAAAACAATCACTGAGCTGTGGAAGCTGATGCAGAAAAGGGAGTGAGTGCATTAATATGAGGAGTATATTAATATGAGGAGGAATATGACTTTAGCCTACAGAAGGATAGTAGGAAAAAACTCCACCGAGGAGAATAAATGACTATGAACTGTCTAGGAGTTGGAAATAAGTAAGTAGTTTTGTAACTCTTTGAAGTGCTGAGCACCCTTCCAGTATGAGAATGTTCTGAGAGTGCTTAAATGATGGTGAGCCCTTTCAGGCCAAAGTTTCTTTGGCTTTCAAGCCAAACTGGTCAAACTGTTTTGGACTGCATTTGTAGGAAAAAAAATGGCAGCTATCCTTTGGTGGGAAGGGCGAAGGGTGGCCACCTGCAGCAAGTTCAGAGAGAACTGGGTTTAGAAATGCTACCTGGAAAAGAGGAAGCCTTTGTAAAGTCTTTGGTCGAGGGCATTAGGGGAAAACACTTTTTTTTCAAGCAAGCTTTCAAGGGTTTCTCATTAATACATTTATTATTTCATCACAACTCTGTTTGTTCCCTCTACAGCTGCAATCTACAGCTACCTGCTTCTACTGGTAGAGTACAGCTGAGCTATTACAGTGCCACTCCTACTTTAGAGTTGGTGGCTGAGGCTGCAGTCCAGCTCCTGTAGGGATTTGCCTCTGCCCTTGTGCAAGCGGCCCCTTTCCTCAGCTGGAGCTCCCTGACCCGCAGTAACAGAGACCAAGCTGCACTACCTCTGAAGACAGACAAAAACATCCTTATTCTTACACTGTTTCCTTTCACCAGAGCTTCGAGCTCACTTTGAGCCAGCATCAGAAATGGAAGGCGGGGACAAGGATGGAGATGAAGTGGAGGCCAGTTTCCAGCCCGCTGAACAACATGGGGCCGAGGATCCCGCCAGCACGTCGGGAGTCAGCACCCTTAGTTCTGTAGTCACATGTGAGGCTCAGCAGCAGCTGAGCCTGGAGCTGGGCAGACTTAAACAAGAGACCTTAAGGTAACCCTCCTGTGAAGACTGTGGATTTATGTTCAGGTGCTCTTTGAAAAGCTCTCAGATGTTGCTTTCGAGAGTGACGTGCACATAGGTAACATAAATCTGCTCACCTGCTGCAACTGCCCCATGATAAAGCAGACCTTCCAAGAACACAGATGAATTCAGAATGTGCTGATAGCACCAGCGTGACAACTCAGCAGCCTTCAGTGCAACTGTTGTTTCTGTGTAGTTAATTTCTTAATGGCAGAACGTCATGTTGGATTTCTGCTGCTAAGTCATTAGGCTTGTGCAACTGTGCAGTTTCCCTCCTACTTCCTGGGCTCCTTGGATCTCACCTGCCCTGGTGGCAGTGCCCTCAGAGCTGTTTTTGCAAGGGGAGGTCAGAGCTGCTCTGCTCTGGCCTAGGGGACAGGCACAAGCAGGACTTGGCCGAGTCACTGTCCTGTTTCTCACAGCTCACAGTTGTAGGCTGCTGCCAGTGTGTTAACAGCTAAAGGTCCCATTCTTCTTCATGGATGGGATATAAATCCGTGATCAGAAAATCCCTGGTAAAATCATCACTGTTACACTGTTCAGCAGTAAATGACAGTATAAAGGCAGCAGCTCTGCTTACAGAGGCTGCAAAACAATAGGAATAGAATTTACAAACTATTTACTAAATTCTGCAAAGATGAAAGCCTTAAGAGTGCCACTGATAAGCTGAGTCTCACACAACCAAAATCAAATCTGTGAGCCATAAAATATGTTACTTCAGACAGCAATTCTCAAGTGTCTCTATCATTTTTAATGACTACCCAAGAACAAATTTTTCTTTCAGCTAGACTTATTCTCAGTCTGGTTGTGTTTCATCTCTCTCCTGTGCTAACAGGCTTTTGGAAAACCTCGTTCAGAAGGAGAAAGAGTATCAGACCCTGTTAAGACAATCTTTGGAGAAAAGAACTCAAGAATTACACTTGCTTCAGTTAAAACTTAAACCTGAAGGTATGAGGAGATAACTGCACATTTTGACAGTTGGGTGCAAATACAGATCATGTAAATATGTGATCATGTAGACTACTTTAAGCTTCATTAGTGTGAAAACTCCCACTTTTGCCCTGATTTTGAGGTGTATTAACCTATGTTTGCTTTCTGTTAAAGATTCCCTGTGTTCTGCAGCAACTTCCAGAAAGAATGCAGACCCTGAGCTCATGAACTGGCTGAAACTACAAGGAGCAGACTCAGATGCTGTGAACAGGGTAAAAAAAAAACCCAAATATCCTAACAAAACAGAAAAATTACTTTTTAAATAAAGATCCTTGTAGTCATAATTAGTAGTGTGGTTTCAAAGAAGGAATACTAATTTAGGAATAAATTTGCCTTTTAGTTTGTTGAAGAGGAGTATACACTAAGTGCTGTCCTTAATGATGTCACCAAAGATGATTTGCGGTATCTTCGATTGCGGTGAGACAGTACTTCACTTTAATTAAGCCTTTATCAATGAAATAGCTTGTTAAAAAAAAAACAACAAAAAAAACCCACACAACAAAACAAGGGATTTTTCCCTGTTCTCCATTCTTTTTCACGCAGGGGTGGGCTTCTCTGCAGAATCTGGAATGCAATATTACGCCACCGACAAACATCTGGCACGACCTCAGAGCAGAAGATGCTTCAGGACAACGTGAAATGGGAATAAATAAATGAGAGATACATTCCTAACACTGAAACTATTAGATGAATATATATATATGTACAGTGGCCTTGCAGGTTTTGCACAGTTAAGTAACTTGTCTGACCATCAGTATAACACACAATAAATAGAATAGCTTTTAAGTCTGCATCAAGAACTTAAATAATTTGTGACAGAGTAGCGTAGAAGTCAAATGCCTATCAGTGTAATATAAAGCATTAGCTGAGGGAAAAAAAAAAAAACACCAAACCCACCCTTTTCTGTGAAGCAGGAACCACACACCTGAACTGGCTTTAGCACTGTGAAAACTGAACTTAATATGTGCTACAGTTCTGCTGGCTGATGGCTTGAGCAGGGAGGGGATGTGCTAGAGCATATGTCACCTCCTCACGGATCAGTGTATATAGCTTTTTGTATTAAAGCTGCTAAGGAAAGCCTGGTGTGATGTTTTCATTTAGTAACTTTTCCAAGCAAAAACACAGCATCTAAATGGCTTTTTGGTGGTTTTAAGGGGGACAAAGTGATACATCAAGAAACAAAGCAAACAGACAACTTAAATTTCAACAGCATTTAATTTTTTTTTTTTTTTTTTTTACACTGTACATAATACATACAGCAATCCAAACAGAAGTCAGTAAAGCAAATATATAGCAATTTAAATAAACAGCTGCTTTCTCTTAATTTAGCTCCTTCTGAAACAATATTCAGCATCTTTAAGAAAATCCATACCAAGATGGATTTCCCTAGACA